TCTCTCTCTCTCCCTCCCTCCCTCCCTCCCTCCCTGGCTGTTCTGGAAATCGCTCTGTAGACTAGGCTGGGCTCAAACTTGAACTCAGAGATCTGCCTGCTTCTGCCTTCCAAATGCTGGAATTAAATGCACGCATCACCATCACCCAGCCCATCTCACAGATTCCTTTTTTCCTGTGTTTCCTGTTAAAGATTTATTTATTATGCACACAGTGTTCTGTTTGCATGTATGCCTGCAGCCAGAAGAGGACACCAGATCTTATTATAGATGGTTGTGAGTCACCACCGTGCGGTGCTGGAAATTGAACTTAGGACCTCTGGAAGATAAGCCACTGCTCTTAACACTGAGCTAGTTCTCCAGTACACGCCCCCTCCCTTTTAAATAATTTATTTAACTTTATTTTATGTCCACTGGTTGAAGGTTTCAGATTCCTTGGAACTCCAGCTACAGACAGGTGCTGTGCGCTGCCATGTGGGTGCTAGGAACTGAACCTGGGTCCCCTTGAAGAGGAGTCAGTGTTCCCAATCACTGAGCCATCTCTCCAGCCTTCATCTCACAGATTCTAAGACACTTTTCTTCTTCCCATAATTTTACATCAATGGTATAAATATTGTATTATCAATTATATAACAGCATAACCATGATAACTTAAAAATTATACATATTTGGAAGCATTTGCATAAAATGTGGAGAATTTATATTCCTGTTCAAGTTATTTCACCAATCTGTTTGATTAATAGATAGCAAGGTTACCACAAAGGCTAATCTTGTAGGTATAAAACGCACGTTTGTGGCATCTTGCCATATACTTAGCATGTTTGCTTTTTCTAGCAAAACCAGGAAAAGGTTTTCACACTTGATATGACCAGGGAACAGAAGACTCTTTATTACAAACTTTCTACTTTCCTTTTCCAACATTTTAAATTTTACTTAACTTACTTAAAATTTCTCTTAAACCGTGAATGGCTTTTGGTCTACCCGACCCCCCCCCCCTCCTTTGGAACAGGGTCTCTCTACATAGCCCTGGCATCCTGGAACTTGTTATATAGACTAGGCTGGCTTTAAACTCACAGAGATCCTCCTTCATGTTTCCTGAGTGCTGGGTCATTTGTATTTCTAAATGAAACTCTTGAGAATTCAAAACTAACATTCTAGCCTCTGAGCTTTTCACACAGCATTGTTCTGTTGCATTCTGTCTAAGTAAACCTTTATGAGTCAGCAGCCATCCAATTTTAAGTGGATTCTACTGAGAAACCTGCATAAATCCCCACAATTTCACTGAGGAAGACCAAGTCCTCAAGAATGGCACCAAACATAGCTATCAGTAGTATAGCCTGTGAGAAGGTCTGCCTGTTTCTACACATCTTTTTCCTAGCTGTTTTGGGGCAAATTCTCCTCTGAGTTTCCTGCTGATCTTTTTGTTCAGATCATGAACTAGTAGTCAGACTTGCATTTTCTCCAAGAGTTTCTTCAGTTGTGGGGGTGAAACAAAGATTATTTGTAGCTTTCTGAGCACTACCAACTTCAATTTCTTTGGCTGCCATTATGTTTTGCTTCTACAGATGACACTTTAAGTCTGAGTTCATCCCCAGCTCCAAAAGTACCTGGGTCATAGCTTGCTGCTGGGCTGTAGTATCTTGGCAACTGCACTGATCGTGGCCTTGTCCCTACTGAGCTCAGGAAAGTCTGTCCTAAAGCACTAGCAGGTCTCCTTTCCAGATGGTCCACTTTCCTCCTTAACCCTGTCCATAAGAAAGTATACTTATCAAGAACATTCTAGGTTTTCTGTTTGTGGATATGACAGTTTTTGAGATATGGTCTCAGGTGGTTAAGCTGGCCTCAAGCACGTAAATGCTTGAAACTACACTGTATACTCCCACACCTGGCTAATTCATCCTAGTATGTATTATTTCTGTTAACTCTATTTCTCTCACTAGTTGTCAAAATTTCAACAAAGGATACTTGCTGTTGTTTTGTTTTTCATGTAACAAAAGCCCTGACTGTCCTGGAACTTGCTCTCTGCACAGGCTGGCCTTCAACTCAGAGATCCACCTGCATCTGCTTCCCAAGAGCTGGGATTCAAGGTGTGTGCCACCATCACCACCCAGCTCAAAGGAAACTTTTTTTTTTCTTTCCCCGAGACAGGGTTTCTCTGTGTAGCTTTGGAGCCTATCCTGGCACTCACTCTGGAAACCAGGCTGGCCTAGAACTCACAGAGATCCGCCTGCCTCTGCCTCCCGAGTGCTGGGATTAAAGGCGAGTGCCACCAAAGGAAACTCTTATAGCACAATTCAGCACAAATATCCTAAGAATAGCAAAGCAAAAAGAAGAAAGAAAGAAAGAAAGAAAGAAAGAAAGAAAGAAGGAAGGAAGGAAGGAAGGAAGGAAGGAAGGAAGGAAGGAAAACAAAAATCTCATGCAGAGCAGACCCTGATGTGCTGCTTGCTTACCGTTGTTCTTTTCACTGTCAGCAGGTTTCATCTGTATAGGGTGATGCATCTGAAAAGCAAACCCACTGGTATTATTCTCGAAACCCATGAATGGCTTTCAAAAATATATAGACTCTAAAGGGCATATCAAAACAACGGCCTTTAGAATTCTCTGATATCATGGCTGCCCAGTTATTTTACTTACAAAATATTAGACAGAATGTGACTGACTCATAAAGTTAAAATACATAAGACTTGGCAACAAGGACAACTTTTGGTGTAATTTCTTTGAAATTGTCCCCTCATAGTCTATTTTCAAAATGCTTTCCACTATGTACTTGCCATATATAAGCATGTCCCATGCATAAAAACAGAAACAATGCCATTTTTACTTATAAGAGCCTCTTACCCCAGGGAGAACCTTCATGTTGTGAAGAGCATTCTGAGCTTCTAAAGCAGCTTTGCGGGTGTAAAATGTAACAAAACAGCACCCTGAATAAACAAGATTTTACAAAATCAAATCAATGCCTTGAAAACAGATAATTCCTAGAACATTTCTATTCCTACACTGCTGCAGAACTTCAAGAGAGGAATGAGTTTATTAAAACTGGAGCAGGAAAAAAAAAAAAAAAAAAAGAGGCTGGGCAGTGGTGGCAGACGTCTTTAATCCCAGGACTGGGGAGGCAGAGGCAGGCGGATCTCTGTGTGTTTGAGACCAGTCTGGTCTACAGGAGTTAGTTCCAGGACAGCCTCCAAAGCCACAGAGAAACCTGTCTTGAAAAACCAAAACTGGAGTAGGAGGACAAGGGTTTTACCTTTTTTGTTTTGTTTTTCGAGGCAGGGTCTCTGTGTAGCCTTGGCTATCCTAGAACTCACTCTGTAGACCAGGCTGGCCTCAAACTCAGATCCACCTGCCTCCCATAAGGGCCAAGGGGCATGCTATTTTTTTTTTAAATGTTCTTTTTTTTTTAAATTTATTTATTATGTATGCAACAGTCTGCTTCCATGTATATCTGCACACCAGATGAGTGCACCAGATCTCATTATAGATGGTTGTGAGCCACCATGTGGTTGCTGGGAATTGAACTCAGGACCTCTCTGGAAGAGCAGTCAGAGCTCCTAACCTCTGAGCCATCTCTCCAGTCCAGGCATGCTATTTTTAAGCACCTTTATTGCTCTAGCCTATTCTAGCTCTGGGTTGTATCTCTAGAGTCCTTGTAATCATCAGAAGTCCTCTTTTGCTTCTGTAACTTCTCTGGAAAATCCCCACTCCCCCGTTTTTAAAAAAAACAAACCCCTTGAGTCAAAAAAAATCTCATTTAGCACAGGCTGGCTTTGGATTTGGTATGTTAGCTAAGGATGTCCTTGAACTCCCGCCTCCATGTTCTGCGAGCTGAGATTACAGTCTACACAACCATGCCTGGCTACAATGCTAGCTTTACAAATGTTATGTGCCATTCCATTTAACTAATCCTACCATAAACTAGGTAGTATGCTGAGGAACAAGACCTAGCTACATAGTCTCTATTCTGGCAGCCTGGTTTCTTGGGAACCCCTTTTCTCTCTGCTTGCTGAGAACAAACCACTCCCAATATCATAGTCAGTACTTCAATTAATTAATTAATTAATTAATTAATTAATTTGTGGTGTTTTATTTTTTGGAGACAGGGTTTCTCCGTGTAGCTTTGTAGACTAGGCTGGACTCGAACTCACAGAGATCTGCCTGTCTCTGCTCCTGAGTGCTGAAATTAAAGGAGTGTGCCACCACCACCGCCGCCCAGCTTAAAATTGTTTTATTATTTTATTTTATATATATGGGTGTTTTGTCTGTGTACCATAAGGGCCTGATGCTGAAGAGGCCAGCTTAGGACTGGACTTATAGCCTTTTGTGAGCCACTGTGTGGATGGTGAGAATTGAACCTGGATCTTCTAAAATAGCAATCAGTGCTCTTAACTGCTGTACCGTCTCTCCAGCATCTCATAGCTAGTTTTTGACCATATGCTTTAATTATCACTTATTAAATTATAAAATTACTGAAGAACTTAGAATCTATACTTGGAGAATTCCTTATTCTCATCAGATAATTCTGCTCCTTACAGCACTTGAAGATGTTGTACTTTGTTTAGTATCTGTATTAAAAATAGGTCTTAAAAAAGATTTTGGGCTTCAGTGTTCTGATACTTGTATATTCTCATGAAATACAATAGTTTTCTCTCAATATTATGCAACACTTAGGATTTTAAATTAATGTTGTATAACCAGACATTTCCAGAAACTACAACTTTTATTTTTGATTAGCTATTCCATGTGTAGAAAATTCATTCTGTCTTTAGAACCTAACTCATTAACTTGTGCACAAATGACAACCATACTCCTCACATCTTTACTGGAGAACAACTTTAACAAAGAGTCAATCTAAAATTGACCATTTGGAAAATAAGAGTATGTTTGTGTACAAGCAAAGCTAATGTTGCCACTTAATATTAGTCTCCTGAAATGTATATGTTGCTGTGATCCCTGAAAGAGCCTATCCTTTCTTTCCCTATCCATTTTGTAGGCTACCGCCAACAAATAAGCCTAAATTTTAGGCTACTGCCTAAAATAAGCCCTACTCAGTTGACTGACTATCCTGTAAGGGCTTCTATAGATCAGTTTACTCTAGCCAAAAACCTCATGTGACTAGTTACTTACTATTTTAAGCATTCAATTCCTAGATCAAATGAGACACATAGCTCTGAGAGCACTTACACAGGACTGCCCAGGCACATGTTACAAATTCTCATGTGGTCACCTTAATATTTTATTTTTAAGCCATTAATATGCTGGACTCGAAAATATAGCTGATATAAAAGGACACCTTCCCCCACATAGCCACAGAAATACCCTGACAACCAGAGATAGAATGCATAGTATAATGTAGGAATTAAAAATATAACCCAGCTGTGTGTGGCACAAGCCTTTAATCCTAGCACTGAAGCAGAGACAAGAGCTCTTGAGTTCAAGGCCAGCCTGGTCTACATAGGAAGTTCCAGGACAGCTAGAGCTAACACAGAAAGACCCTGTCTCAAAACAAAACAAATTAGAAAAACAAAACAAAACAATTATTTGCACTGTGTTAAAGTACCCCAAAACCCTGTCCAGCATGCATGTTGTAAAGGCACTCCTACCTAATCTAACCTATGAGTTCAATGCCTGGGATTCACATAATGGAGTGAATCTAGTATTTCAACTTGTCCTCTGACCTCCATATAAATGAACCATAATTAAAAAAATAAAATAAAACACCTCACCTTTGCTCTGAGGAGGGTTTTGGCTCCTATCCCTTAGGATGTTGATTTCATAGACAGCACCATACTGCTCAAAAAGTTCCCTCAAGTCCTTCTCAGACCAGGTCCTGGGAACCTGGCCCACAAACATCTTGATAGCATCAAGATCTGGTTGGTCTGGGTGGTCCAGGGTGCCGTTCATTTTCTTTGAGCTGCATGAGATAAAGGGGGAGATTATATATAGTGTACCAGAAAGGTTATTATTTTTGTAAAGATTTTCAAGTACTTTCTGAAAACATAGGAGAAAATCTACTTCATTCACTACCTCTACTTAATTTACCTGAATTCTAGTCTGTCTACTCTACTGGGTATCAAACTAAATTCAACATTCTGATTAAGACATATGGAGTTTTAAAAAAAATTGACAATGCCACTTACGCCCTAATATAAAAATTCTCAGAACTTAACAAAGTGAAGATCTCAAAGATAGATCAAGTTTTAATAATATTTGAGTACAGCTGAACAAATCCCTTCTTAAATTTTATTATTTGTGTGTGCAATATGGCTATTCATATGCTACAGCATTATGAGCAGAGTTTGGAGGACCATTTTTCCGAGTCAGTTCTGTCCATTCACTTTTATGTGGGTTCTGGGGATTGAATCCTTATTGTCAAGCTTGTAGAGCAAGTACTTTATCTGCTGAGTCATTTTATCGGCCTAATAAAGACTCTAAAATGTCTGTATAGTAACAAAGGATTAATGATTACAGGTAAGAGTCAGGACTCTTTAACATAAAGACAGTATCTTTTTAGCAGATGTCAAAACAGATGCACTTAATTTCTAAAATCCAAACTACCAGAATACTAGCTTTAAAGGGTGCTGTCTCAAACAGTGCTTTTTAAGTTAGCTTTACCTCTTATTAAACTGACAAAAATGACTGTGATGTAAGTTCCTGGTTATTGTTCTAAAGTATGTAACCAGTACTTGCTGTTTCTCTGAGACTTTGCATTGGATTCCCCCCACATCATTTCAAATTCTACAAAATCTTCCAATCCTATCACACCTAACACTCGTACTTTAATACCCATACCCGTATTCCTATCCTGTGAACTGTTAAGAACTTAAGGGCATTCTTGCATCACAACCATTTCTTCAGTAGGTACCATCCATTTCCAAGCCTTTCCCACTATTTCAAGATCTTCACTTAAAATTTAACACTCGGCCGGGCGTTGGTGAGGCACGCCTTTAATCCCAGCACTCGGGAGGCACAGGCAGGCAGATCTCTGTGAGTTTGAGCCCAGCCTGGTCTCCAAAGTGAGGGCCAGGATAGGCTCCAAAGCTACACAGAGAAACCCTGTCTTGAAAAACAAAAACAAAATTAACACTCAAACCTAATAACTTAAATTCTCAAAGACTATCAAGGAATGCTGAATCTATGAAAGTAATTTACCTCTATGCTTTACTTTAGAAATCTTTTGTAACTGAACCACAGAGGGTATTTTACATATTTCTACAGAATCTAGCATTAAGTAGTTATTGGGAGAATACTAACACATTATGTGTGAGTCAGGTGTGGTGTGCATACTTGTAATTCCAGCATTTGAAATGCAGAAGGACTGCCTCAAGTTCAAGGTCAGCCTGCCTCTACCTCTCAAGTACTGGGATTAAATGTGTGCAACACCACCACCACCTGGTCAAGCTATCCTCTTAAAAAGTTATCTTGGGAGCAAATAGGGAGATGACTCAGAGGAAAAATAAAAGCACAAGGATGGAGTTTGAATATTCAGTATCCACAGAAAAGCCCTGGCACAACAACACTGCGAATAGACAGGAGGCTCCTGCAGGGTGACTTGCCTGGCCAAGCTTAACCTAATTGACAAGCTATAGGTTCAGAGAGAGAGAGAGAGACTGTCTCAAAATAATAATATTAATAATAGCCAGGGATTCCTTTAATGCCAGCCCTTGGGAGATAGAGGTCAACCTGATCTACATAGGATGTTTTCTGGTCTGTCAGGGCTATATAGTAAGACCCTGCCTCAACCAATCAATTAATTAAATTGGAAAATAAAAACATGAAGTAAAGAGTGATAGAGAAGACACTCTCTGGCCTCCACATATCCATATGTGGATATACATACACACCACATGCATGCTGAAAACCTACTTTGGAATACACTGTTAATTTAAAGCTGTGGGTACAGAATGGTGGTATACACCTGTATTCCAGCACTAGGGAGGCTGAGGAAAAATCCTGAGTTCAATAAAAGCTAGGGCTACACAAAGAAAGAAAAGGACAAGAGGGAGTGGAAGGAAGGAATATGTCAGGTCATTATAAAAATATAATTTTTAGCATTTTAACCTTACTGTCTCAACAGAAACCAGGCTTCCATGATTAAAAATAGAAGGTACCATTGAGTAGTGAAACAATAGGAGACATTTCTTACAACATGACCCTAATAACTTTATCGGTTTCAGTAGCATTTTATTAAAATGTTGCTAATCTCTCATGTTTGTATTCCAGAAAAGAGTAACGGAACCTCAGTGGTAGTCAGGATATGTTTTAATAATAAGCTAATAGCTCTTTCTGCAGAGGCATTTGTATTACATTAGAAGCCAACTGCATGGGCTGGTCCTTTCCTCCCACATGTACATGCCTTTTCTAACTTTACATCACCAATTCAGTTAGAAGCAAAAGGCATGGTTAATACACACAAATTACAACTTATTAAAACTGGCAGAAACTCAGGATTCTAGGCAAGAACTCTGTCACTGTACTATATGCCTTCTTTTTTACTTTGAGACAGTCTCACACTAAGTTGCCCAGGATAGCCTTGAACTTACTCAGTAATACAGTGGTTCTCAACCTGTGAGTCAGGACTTCAGGGGTGTGTGTCTGTGTGTGTGTGTCTGTGTGCGTGCGCGTGTGTACACACACAACCCTTTCACAGGGGTCGTCTAAGACCATGTGTATTTCTCCTGACTCTCTCTCCCTAGTGCCTGAGACTATGGGCCTTTACCACCAGCTTCAAAATCTTCTCTATTTCTTCAAGACCATACCCTCCAAAAACCAACCTTTCCCTTTTGAATACCAACTCAGAAACCCTAAGAATTGTCTAGGTCTGTGATATGTGAACCAGGGCCCAGAAATCAGAAGCAACTTTCAAACTTAACCTTTTAGAATTCCATTTTCATAGAAATTGGATTAGCCCATTATAGATCTATTAAAATTGATAATAATAACAAATAAGTTTGTGCCTCATTTTAAAATTATTTCCACGATAGGATTTCTCTTTGTAGTCCTGGCTGTAATGGAACTTACTTGGTAGACCAAGCTACCCTTGAACTAAAGGCATCCATCTACCTCTGCCTCCTGAGTGCTGGCATTTAAAGGTTTGTGTCACGACTACCTAGCCATATTGGTCTCATCTAATTTTTTTAAGGAAATAATTTTTTACTATATTTTTCAATGGAGTGAAGCATAAAGCAGTTCTCCACTCTGAAAGGCACAACCTAAGTATTTCACATTTTCAGACAGGGTCAACAAACTATACAGATCATGAGCTACAATCATTTACTGACTCATTCCTACTTATAATAAATACTAGGCACTTTACTTATATAGGTCAACACACTGTTAGACATGGCATACATTGGTAAATAACAAAAGCATAGTATAACGAATAAAATATAATTGTATGTGTTTGAAAATGCCAAAATAAAAATAAAACCCAAAATTTTTGCTAATTTGAAAAAATTAAGCTTTATTTTTATTTATATACATAAGTTAAGATTTATTTTCTGTTCTGTGTGTGGGTGCTCCAGGAAGCCAACAAATATAGGTGCTAAGAACTGAAATCAGGTCCTCTGGAAGAGCAGTAAATTCTGTTAACCACTGAGCCATCTCTCCAGCCTTAACTAGAATTTTTTTTTTTAGAGACTGGAAAAAATGGATGGATGGATGGATGGATGGATGGATGGATGGATGGATGGGCCAAGCCAGACAGCTTGAGTCTGATCCTCAGGACCCACATAGTGAAGGAGAGACCTACTCCCACAAGCTGTCCTCTAACCTTCACAAGCAAGAGAGACACAGGCCTTTAATCCCAGCACTCAGTAGGAGAAAGAAAGCAGAAGCAGACCAATCTCTGAGTTCCAGGCCAGCCAGAGGTACACAGTGAGATCCTGCCTCCAAAAGTTAATTCATTTGATTAAATATCTTTTAAATTCAGTCAATAAGATGGCTTAGTAGATAAAAGCACCTGACACCAACTCAAGTTCAAACCCTAGAATTCATATAGAAAAAAAAATGATGTCCAGTTCCATCCATGTTGATACAAATGATAAAATTTCATTGTTTTTATGTCTGAATAATGTTCCACTGTGTATTTGCACCATGTTTTTTCTACCCATTCATTGCTTGACTACAATCAGCTATACCATACTCAGTATATCAAAAATGCTATAAAATTTATTTGGGGAAGTTTTTAAACATTAAAAAATGTTTGAGGAATCAGATACATTTAATATGATTTAAATATTATACAAGGAAGAATAAGGCAAGTGAATGGTCAATGTGATGCCAAAGTGGATTATTGTAGAGGGAAATGCTGACCATGCCCACTTGGGGCTGCAGAGATGGCTCAGCGGTTAAGAGGACTGACTGATCTTCCAGAGGTCCTGAGTTCAATTCCCAGCAACCGCATGGTGATTTACAACCACCTTGAATGCGATCTGGTGCCCTCTGCTGGCACTCAGGCAGAAGACGGTATACACAATAAATAAATAAATAAATAAATATAAAATCTTTTAAAAAATAAATAAATAAAATAAAATTTTTGGAGTTCACTCAAACAGTTAAAAAGGAAACTTATAGTGTCAGCTAGAAATTTAAAACCTGAGAGAAGCAACCACATAAATAAATATATATTCAAAATAAGTAGATTCAAACTTTCTCAACTGTCATTGATGTGAAGAGTTGAGCAACAGTAAGTAGTCTTCCATTCTCCTTGTACATATACATTCATTGTGCATGTTGTCCTTAAGTAGGTAATCACTGCATTAAAAAGTCACCTGAGGGTAAAGATGGAGTTTAGTGCTCTCTTAGCATCCCTAAGGCACTGGGCATGGTTCCCAGCATCACAAAATAGATAAAAGGATAGACAGATAAGTAGATAGGTAGGTAAGTAAATAAATAAATGTATATTTCCCTGGA